TTATTTAATGTTAATCCTACATTCCACAATTTTGTCCACTGAATACTTTTTCATTAATTAATGTTTTCTCATTAATTTTCCATACTTTTACTTTTTTATCACTTGATCCTGTTACTAATATTCCTTTCTTTTCTTCTATTTCAATACATTTAATTAAACTCATATGTCCTTCAATTGTATTTTGTGTGTATTGTATTTGTCTCCAATGTTTTCTCATTGTAGCACATTTTCTGAATATTTCTGCTGCTTTTTTATTACTTTGAAAGAGATTAATAGATGGTTTAATTTCTTTAATTTTGTCTTCCCAATACTTTTCACCTTCTATTCCAAAGATAATCCCATGTAATTGTCTACAACTTCTTCCTAATGACACTGCATCTTTTGCATCAAGTGTTCTCAGTATTTCTCTTATTATTGATCCAGGTAATTGTAAAAGTGGAACATTGTTTTGAAGTGTTTCTTCTCTTCGTTCTCTAATTGGTAGAAATGATGCTGGTGCTCTAAAGTATGGTTCTGTTGTATCTTCACAAAATACTGGAAGATCCAATAAAATATTTGCAGAAATGGTAGATAACAATTCACTCACATCTAGAAGTATTGATGAGTTTAATGAGTCCATTGTTTCCTGTGATTCTTTTTATCTTAGAAATAAGAGTTCTTCGTTATAATTTTCTTTATTAAATCACATTAAACTATGACAAAATTCATATTTACATACCATTTTGTGTTATTAAATTTGAGTAAATTTCTAAATCATTCAGAATTAATACTTGAACTACTCAGTTATAAAATAAATGAATAGAATGACTAAATAGTTATGTGTTGTATTATCTACAGTTTTAATTCTTTTATTTTCATAATAAATAACAGAGTTTTGGTGTGTGATTTTTACTTTGTTTATTTTAACAATAATTCCACATTTCAATATTGTTGAGATAATAATAATGTCCATATCCCATGAAGATTTCTCATAATATAAATCTATGTCATTGATGATATGTAAAGAAAGAGTACAAGTAATTAATGATTTTCTTGGTAAAGAATATGAACAAACAATGAATAATGGAATTGTTGAATTTTGTATGAATATGTTTCTTTTTAAAACAACTACAAACAACACAACTTATTCAATTGTACTATTAGTTTTATAACACAATGAGTTAATACTTAGATAAATACTCTTGATAATGATTTAGAGAGAATGTACTTATTCATCCAAGTTATTTGGTTATACTCACAAAATATGATATAGATTTAATACTATGTTCATTCTAATGACATTATTTTAAATAAACTGTGATATTCTTCTTAGTTGAAATGTTTTACTCAGATGAAAGAATTGTGACATGAATTGATTCAAAAAGAATAGTTTATCAGAACTGTTTATGTTTGTTTTTAAATTACTAAATATCTTGTTGGTTATTCATCAAATGATGGTTCAAATCTCTCAACATATTTGTGAGATACGTGTATATAAAAGAATGTATTTCATGTTGTATCAACAATATGTTTTATCAATACTTAAATGAGATGTTTTAGTCTCAACTTAATGTTTCTGTTATCTTTTGTTATGAAGTGAAGAATAAAGATACTAAGATAAAGTATTTCACAAAGCAGAGTTATATTAATTGTATTGTGATTTGTTCTACAAAATAAAGGATATTGATAATGGTTGAGTATTTAATTATCGATTGTGTGAATGAGATTTATTTCATCACTTTGTAAACTTTGTTATTCATTATAACACATTCATTTTGTATGAATATTTATTCTTACATCAAACAAAACAGTGACAAACACATTAACAATGTTCATGTTTATTCTGTATTGATGACAGATTCTTTATTAACTCATTCCCTATTTCTTATTATGACTCATCCTCTATCATGAAATACAATTAACAATTAT